AATTCCCCAGCCAGCCAAGCTGGCTGGGGAATTCTGGGAGTTGAAGTCCACCCATCTTAAACGTGACAAATTGGAGGAACGCTGTGCCAGATTAACATAATGCAACTGGCCATCCCGGCTTGGCTCATCTGTGGCAGTGTTCGGTTTCATGCACAGTGACCAGCCTCGGTTGGTTGGTTTGCTGTGATAAGACACGGTTTGGGGCAGAGGCAAAGTCGATGCATTGTGATAAACCATGATCGCGGCAACGGTGAGGTCGGTGCATTTATCCATTGATCATCGAGGGATAAATGTAATATTCAAGAAACGGCGACGGCTGAGTTTTCACTCCCTACGAATAGCGAGGTTCACACCGCGGGTTAAGCGGTGCAAAAGGACCCATACTTGGAGGGCATTATGGAATCCAGCCTTGTGCAGAAATCCATGGCTGTGATCTTTTTCAGCAATCGAACAGAGCGTGTGGATGTAGTCTTCAGGAGCTGAAATCCTTGCCGCTCGGTTGCAAATCACTCAGCTTTCTCTCTTGTCAGCTGGAAAAAGAAGGAAGGATTCGCTCCGCCAGGACGTGGGTCAATGCTGGCTTCTTATTACGGCTGCAAGGAAACCCTCTGATGTGCGCTATGTAAAAAAATACACATTTAGAAGGGTTGGGTGTTTATCTTAGGAGAGGAAAACGGCCCTTCTCTTGCAGCCGAAGCCCTTTTAAGCCCCAATTGAAGGGCGTGAGGCAAACCTGGTTGAGGGATGTCAGCTTGTAAGGAAGAAGCAATTTTTCTCCAGCTGCAGGGGAAAAAAAATCTCTGGATGAATGGAGACTTTCCAATTCCTGGTTTTCAAAGGAGGAGCACGTCTCGCTTCTGCCAGATGGATTGGTTGTCAGGAGATGAAAGGGCAAAGGCTTCAGAGGTGCCAAGCGATCCCCCCCTCCACGTCTTTGCAAAACATGGTGCAGCAGGTCTGGGCCAGTCTATCCAGGGGGCCTGGGAGGCATCCGAAGGCTTGATTTCGAGAAAAACAGGGTTTACGGACTTTGCAAATTGAAATATCAGCTGTTTCTGTTGGGGTGTGTGCGCTGTCGCTCGAAAGTAATCGTGTGCAACTTTTTGCAGCATTCGCACAACATGCTAAACCTGGGTTTTAATCTGGGTTAGTTTTGGGGGGCTTATCAGGTTGTATGAAAGCAGCCCCCTTGGCTAGTTTATGATTCAGGGCGCTGTAGAAGTAGGGGAATTCGCTGGCTGGGTTAAAGGTGTTGTGTGAATGCTGCCAAGTGAACCAGAAGGTTTGGTTTTATTTATATTAAATATTTGCCATTCAGGAGAGCTTTTAAAATTTGCTTTCTATGGGGAAAAGAAGAGAAAAACTCTTTCCTCAGGCAGGGTTCAGGTAACAACCACATTGTTTTCAGGAGGGTAGCTTAGCACATTGTGCCCAACCAGCCAATTGTGGTTTATTGAATAAACCACAGTGAAACCAAAAAGTTGCCTTCACCCACCATACCAAAGCAGCTTTTCGATTTATTTACTTATTTAATAAACCACAACTGGTTGGTTGATGAAGTCTTTCATTAATATTATTAATACGTATTTAATTAATATCAATCAATGTTAATACTTCATATTTTGCTCCAGCCAATCAGCGGCTAAGAAATTCAATTCCCCTCCCCCGCGCAGCTAGAGTTAAAGGGCGGGGCTAGGGAAAGGGGCGGAGTAAGACTAAGAATCCCAGTGCGCACGCGCGCCTCCGCTCCTGTGCCTGCTTGTGTTTGACCAACCCTCCGCGCTTTCCCGCTCTTTTCGCCTTCCTTCCCCCGTTCTCCTCCCGCCCGTTGTCTCCTCCCTGGCGCACGCGCCCAAAAAGAGCCGCTTCCTCCTCTTCCGCCCTCTCCTTTGCCCGTAGGCCGCGCGGCGCAGGCGCGGGCGGCCTCGCGCGCCCTCCACGCTGTTGCGTCAAGGGGCTCTTTGGCTGCGCTTTCCTTCCCCGCCGTTTGGGGTCTTGCGCAGGCGCAGTAGCTTTGTACCTTTTTAAAGTCTCTCTCCACCCTCTCGGGTTACGCGTCACTGGGGAGGCTGTGGGGGGCTCGCGGTCGCCATCACCATGGGGGGAAGGGGGGGTTGAGTGAGGGAGG